AACGCTCGAATCTGGGTGGTGGGGAGTTGTTTTCCGAAGAAATGAAAGAGTGGCAGGGTCCTGCGATTTGGATATATAACGACAAAAAATTCAGCGAACATGATTTTCGATCAATATGCAAGATTCGAGAAGGTGGAAAAGGGAACGACTCATCCAAGATTGGAAAGTTCGGTGTCGGATTTAATTCGTGTTATCATTTTACCGACTTGCCGAGTTTTGTAAGTGGCGAGAGAATACAATTCTTTGATCCGCATAACAAGTTTCTCCCTCCCTCGCTGAAAGGTGGCCTGCAAATCGAGTTCCTTAAGCCCGATGAAGACGGAAAATGTTTTAGAGAAAAATATTTCGATCAATCAGCGCCTTACATTGGAATCGAAAATTGTTCTTTTGAAGAGGAATTCCAGGGAACACTTTTTAGAATTCCCCTCCGAACCCGTGAAAGCGAATTATCAGATGAGATTTTTACCACTGATGCGATTTTAGGATTCTTAGAAAAGTTGAGAAGTGATGCATCGATGGAACTTTTGTTTTTCCGAAATGTTGAATTGTTCGAAGTAATGCACCTCAAGGAAGGATCTTCACCAAATTGCGTTAAGCCCCTTTGGAGGGTCAACCTAGCAAATGTTGACGAGAAATTAAGAACAAAAAGGGCTTCCACCGATCCGGGTATCATTTCTTTATCAATTGATGTTGAAATGCATTTTGGAGCCGAGGTGGAGACAAAAACTTGGATATTGTGCAACGGAGGCACGGACCAAATTGAAGATGAGGATCTGAATAACTTTGCCCGAAGACATCGGATGAGAGCACGTGGTGGTGTGGCAACGTTAAGGAACGGGTTTAAGAAAAAAGAAGATGGTCGGATATTTAGTTTCTTACCATTACCCCAAACTATATCACTACCGGTCCACCTTAATGGGAATTGGGCTCTCCCTTCAGATAGATCAAGTGTTATTATAAAAAAGGATAATTTGACAGATATGGATAAATCAAAGTTGGCATGGAATCGATACATATTGTTGAATGTGCTACCGCCGCTATACATAAGACTCTTGCAGGACCTCGTAAACTTCGAAAGCAATGAGGATAAACCGACAGGGAGGCAAATTATTGATGAATATTGGCCCGTAACTGAAGGAAAAAACAATTTTATCGATGTCGAATTCGGGAGAAAAATTATTGAAAATCTTCCTAGGGGAAAGGAACCCCTCTTTTGGACCGATTACAATGGTGGGTCATATATCCCATTCGATGATTCGCTGTTTGGATCCAGTAAAACCATTGTGAAGATACTGGCTGACAATGGAATGAAAAGCGTCTATTTGCCACATAAAAAATTCGAATATCTGGAAAAAGTAGATATTAACTTTTCACCTATCCCGCCCCAAGATGCTCGAAATCATTTAAGAAATAATGATATTTCGAAAAAATACAAACAGAAAGATATGATGGAGTTACTAAGATTCATAATTCAGGACGAAGATTATTCAGATCTTGAAAACATTTACTTGATTCCCCTGGAAAATGGCAAATTTGGTAAATTCGGTAGGGACGAAGAGAAGTATTATTTAGCATCAAGGAGACAACGCAACCTATTACCAAGAGCTAGTGGACGTCACTTCGTTCACGAAGAATATTGTGGCGATCCTGTATTTACCTCAAATCGTTTACAACAAGAAACAAACGTGAGAAAATTCGATGCCAGGACGCTCGCTGATCTTTTGAACAATGAGCTCACCAACTTATCTCCATGGGTTCCGAATTCCCGTTCAATTCCCAACAAGGAGTGGCTCGACAAAATTTGGGATATTATCTTAGGGTCTGACATGAGTTTAGACGTATTCATGCAGTATCCATTGTTAGATATTTCTTATCCCAAATGTAAATTAGTCGCGCTCTATCCTCACAAAAAGATATTTGAATTACCGTCCGCGTGGGAAATGAATCGATATAAAGATTTGGTTTCATTGCTTATTAAGTTTGGAATTCAATTTACCGATCGAAGGTCGAGAGAGCAGTTGGAAGAGTATATAATTAAGTGGAATCCTCAAAATGTTTTGATGGCATTAAACTTTATGAGGCAGGTCAAACCTCGGATTTTAAATAGTTTATCCGAAAGCGAAAGAAAGGAGATTCGAAATTTTATCAGTAGCAATTGGGATAACCTTAGCTCTCAGTTTTCCGGTAAGATATTAAGTTTATCGATTGAAATCACTTTTTAATTAATACCCTCAAATATTAAAATACATCAATAATTTAGCTGAACCAGAAATCTTTACCATTGTACGAGAACTGTCTGTGTGGCCAACGTTATTTAACGCCAGTGTATTCAAATGTCCGTCCGAAGGATTTCTCTTACCCGAAGACATTGTGCCTTTTTCTTTGGCGTCCAGCTATAGGTCAAAATTATTTTTACTGTGTGAAAACCAACGTGATCGAAGTATATTGAATGCATTAGGCGCCAAAGTTATAGGGCTTTCCGATTTCATTCAAAACTATTTTATATTTCCGAGAACTCTCGAGGGAAACTATATGAAATTCTTTAAAAGCCTATTGAAATCTCAAAATTTCAATGAAATCAAACCAATAATTGAAAACAATCCAGTTTTCCCAAACTACCTAACAAAAAACCTCAAGCACTTCAGAGATTTATACGATTATAATGAAAGGCTATTTCGTATTATCTTTGAAAACACTGAAAAATTTCTCCACCGTGATCTTCAATCAATGGAAGCTATAAGGAGAATGAACTTCAAAAACAATGTAAATAGAGACACTTTTATGGAGTGCGCGAAAGCCATCGAAAATTATTCAAATGGCAAAGGAAGAAGACCGGTCGACCTGATTCATCGGGCAACGACGCTTGTACACTATCTTTATGAGCACGTGCATAGATTAGGATTTTCCGATGATGAATGGAGAAATCTTGAAACAATATCGTTTGTACCAACTTCAAGACATATCGAAAGTCCGTACAATCAATCGGCGGTCAATCCTAAGGAACTTGAACGCCTTAGCTCTTTATGTTTGCCCGAATTTAAGAAGATCGCGTGGACACAAATGTCACACTTCAGCGACTCGGTTATTCCGCAAACATCGTCAAATATATTTACAAAGTTTGTAAATTTTGGAAAGCCTAGTGCGCATCATGTACTCGAACACCTACGAGTGATATCCAATTCGATCGTCAAATCTGGGTTGTGGAGGTCCGAGAGACAGCTTCTTCTCAACATACTTGATGAAGTTTATATATTTTTAGATGAGGCTTGTAGGCATGAGGACCCAAGCTTAGAAAAGTCCGACTTTATACCAGGGGAACGTATATTTCTAAATATTGATCTCCACGGCGATCCTTTCGATCTGACTAATTGGGTTTCCTCCCAGGAATTAATAATTAAGGTGGGTCGTAGTGAGATGGGATTTGTCAAATCCAAACTTTCAAAATACACAGCGCTTTTGAAAACAGCTGGATCCGGGGAGGTAGTGATACGGAAGAAAAGCGAGGATAATGCAGGTGATGTGAAAGATGTGCCGAATAGAGACACTCCACAATCGCGATTAGAAGAACTTCATCAATCTCGATTGCGACTTCTCTCTGAAGGAAAATCATTTCCACTCAATGATGTGATTTTCACGGTTCGAGAAGAAGAAATTTTTGCCAACAAATTCATGCTTAGTTCGGGATCGGAACACTTCTATCGTATGTTTACCACCAATTTTGGAGAATCAGATCCGTTTAAACCGGCAGATATTAAAGGTTATGATATAAATCCTGATTCATTCCGTGTATTGTTACGTTGGATATACGGCGAATCATTGGGGAAGGAATTGTATCACTCAAATTCCGATCGTTTTACTAAAGATGATGAGGATGATGACAACTCTGACGTGAGTTCCGAGAAAACAGAAGATATGGAAGAATTGGATACGCAAAACTATTTTTTATTAATGGATTTATTGGAGGCGTCGGACTATTATAACTTAGCTTCTTTACAAGAAGAAGTGTCGGAAAGATTAGAAACGCACGTCTCTTTATCTAAAGCTCGAGATATTTACCAACACGCAATAAGTTATCATGCCAAAGATTTGATCGAATATTGCAATACTTTCATCGAAGATAACAAGAAACATATACCTTTTACAGACTAGCTAAATAATTTCTATCATAATTCCTAATAAAGTTAATTAATTAGATATTTCTTATTTGCAAAACGCAACTTTAATAGAATTCCATATATCATTAGCCGATTTTTAATAGTTATTTTTATTTATTTTCTATCGAATTGTAACTTTTCACATATTATGCAGTGTGAAACATAAATTGTACATTTTTCTTAAATAAAATATCTAATGATGTTTTCTACAACATAACAAAATATTGTTTGTTATTCATAATAATTATATGATCGTGTACGATAAAAAATTATAATATAATGTTTTTAAAATTAATTACTTGTAGAAAAGTAAAGTATCCCTAAATTAAATACATTAATAATATTAAAATAGAACATTAGGTATGTAGATTTGCTCGACATCTTCTTTTTGGGTAGCTTTTAGAAAATCTCATTATTTTATTACACAAAATTTTAATTATAAGCGCATTCTTAAATCTATTGAATGCATTACAGAAACAACTATTTTTATAACTTAACTACAAATTCAACAAATTAACGTTTAAATCAAAGGTTGTTTTTTTTTTTTTTTTAATGTGGTAAATCGTCTAAATCCTTTTCGTCCCGACGATCTTGCTCTGAATTTGCATATGATGCTGTATCGTCAAAATCAACATCACCCTAGTTATTTGAATCGATGACAAAAAAAAAGTTGATTGAAACGATAAATATTAAAAAATATGAATCATATTATTTTATGCTTGTTAAAAGACATACCCGAATCGAACCAGTGCCGGTTGTGTTTACTAGTAAAAAAAAAATAATAATAATTCATAAGATTATTTAAAAAAATCAATAAAAATCGAACGCAAAAAGAAAAAAGATTTACTACTCACCCTCCATACTTAAAAGGCTCATGTTGTCCGCGACGCTTATGCGATCGTCGTCAACTGAAGCTACTGATGATAGAACATCATCGTCCAACTCACCATTGACATTTTTACGTGCTATGTTGCTTACAAGACGATTTTGTATGGGAGACGCAAGATTTGATGGTAAAACTCCATCAGGATATTTTTCTTTGACTTCTGTTATAGATAATTTATTCATACTGTGAATCAGGTGCACTATTTTAGCATCATGATTTCCAACATACCAGCAATTATGTCTTGGTCGAGTCCATCTTTATAATCCAAGTACGCAGTAGCGGGAACCACGCTGTTGCGCGTCTTCTTCATCAGTTCCTCGGCAATAATAGCCTTAAAAAAAAATAAAAAAATAAGTTTTGATAAATATACAAAAATCTTAATGAGATCAATAAAGATTTTACGTGTTTAAAATCTGGAAATAAATTTTCGTAATCCGCAGGGTCCGCCAGTGCCTCTGCCGCTTTCTTCTTATTCTGTTTTTCAAGGGACTCCCGCCACAGTTTTACCAATCTGGAGACCTGGCTGTTTAAAGATCACGCGAAGTTATGTAAATAGATACCGATACAATCAAAATTAATAACAATAAAGAAGAAAGCACACCTGGGAGCATATGTTCGGGCAAACATCGCAGCTTCTGGGATACGGTCAGTTTTCAGTAAAATTTCTATACAATCCTCGACTTGACCGAGTTGTAGGTAACACGAAAACGCTATGTTATTTTTTCCTGAGGCCACTGTGTAAGAATTTATCGTTAAAAATCAAGAGCCCATTTTTACTTAACAATAAAACCACTAGTAATAAATTCAATTACCGGATGTTTCGGCTAACTCTTTTATACCCTTCGAATTTCCAGAAGCTGTGTACAAGAGTAATAAGCCACTCATATCTTTAGCCTTTTTAAGGCATTCTTCTGCTAAAGAAAACTGTCGTGTTCGACAAGTTGTCATTAAATTAAATTCCACATTATTCAGAAATCCAAAGTTTACGCCACAATACGAACTTTCCATGCATTAAGTGCTGAATCACCAACAGTCTTCCATTTGGAGTCGGTATCAACCTCGCGCGCGATCTCGACGGCAACATCAAGTTTGTTGAGTTGAACAGCAAGATCAAACTTATGTTCAATATCAGTTGATACTTCAAGAGCGAGCTCCTTGAGATCTGACATAAAAAACACACATTCGTTTTGTGACCCACATATTATATGAACTTGAATAAATAATCATATTTAACCTTGGCTTTCCAAAAATCTTGCAATTCGGTTCCTTTGTTCGTTAGGGATAGAAGGCAATAACTGCTCAGCAGTTTCGAGATCGTTTCGAAGGATTGCAGTTTGGTATTCAATAACGTTTAAGGAAAGGGCATAGCTGTATACATTGACATCCTAAAAAAAAAAAAAAAATTGAACACAAAACAATTTATTTGATACAAATGTGTACAGTTGATATTAATTCTAAGATGCATTCTTACTTTGTCAGCCAGATATATACGATTGTCCTTAGGAATATACCCCAGTAAGTACATGTTTCTATATTGAATAAGTTCGGCCTTAGAAGAAGAATTTTGCGGAAGCGAATAGGAAAATATGTCATTACAAAAAAGAAATAACTTACGTGTCAAAATGACTAATGGTAAATGTCTGTGCGCCGACGAGATAATTAAGACGATTAACCGTGTTTGTATAAATAAAGCAATCTCCAACCCATGTACCTGTTTTTATACTACATATAATAATTGTTCGGAGATGGGTAAGCATATCTTGGTAATGTGCTTAAAGAAAGAAATACTTAAACTCGACCCCCACCTCTCTGGAATTTCGGTCACAAATTCAAAAGCCTGCTCCACGCCTTCTTCACCCACTTCACCACCACTTTCCAAAAACTCCACATATGATTGTCGATTAAATCTCAAGACGTAGAAAGTATCCTCACACGCAATGGTCACTAGATCACCGATATCAGACCAATATACCTATAATTAATGAACGCATAAGTTGTCACGTCTTTTGTTGCCCTAATTGACATCATGAGAAAGTGGTAAAACCTACGTACGCTCTTAGGAATAACATCGATCCTTCTCACAACCGTAGTGGTCTCCCAATCGTATAGATTCAAAAAAGTAGAGCTTTTTACGCCCAAAAGTGTACCACCAAAAATTCCTTCGGCCGTAAAGTTCAATTTCAATGCATTAGCTCTTTCTTTAAAGTTTTTGTAAAGTTTGATTTTTGTAGTGGATTCTCGTACTGCATATCTATCATTCGATAAGTATTAAGAGGTTTACATGCCTTTGAATTATGCATGAAAAATTCATTTTCAACAGAACATAAAAAGCTCACTCATTTGAATCCAACGCCCATACAAATTCAAGCCCATTACCAAATCCCTTATTTCTCCATGCCAGAGCAGTATAAATAATATATTCCCCGTCCCCACAAACTACAACAAATCTGAGGATAAATTCAAAGCAAGATCTCTTAATATGATTGTAAGAATAACAAACAAATAAATAAAATATTCACCTTCCGTTGGGACTATGCTGAAGTGTTTGGGGATAAACCTCACAACTACCCAAATCTTTGACGGGTAATGGCAGGCGATCGCCATCCTTAATATTGTCATCTGAAAAAAAAAACAATTATTCTTAATCCAACCATTATCAACCAATCGAACTTCAATAATTTTTAATAATTTTTTACCGAAACCAGCCTTTATATTAGCCGTCTGAATCTCATTATGCTTGGCCCAAATAATTTTACCAGAATTATCCATGCTCACTGCTGGCTCCTCACGTCCCAACTGAAGAATGTTATCACAAATAATAAGATTGAAAGCAAATCAAGAACCGAAACGCAAACTATGTGAAACGCATAGCGACGGACCTTGACACAGACAGCCCCTTCATCATATCCAAATGCAACATTATTATTGCCTTTTTGATAGGCGACCGTCCACGCACGCTCAAGTCCGTAATTAAGAGTGTTCTCCAATCGATAAGTATTGGAGTGCCAAATCTTTACGGTACCATCTTCACTACCAGAAATAATAATTGGTAATTCAGGATGAAAACACGCGAACGCTGCATTTTGAGTGTGTCCTTCTAAGGTTTGAACGCAGGTTTTATTTTGATAATCCCAAATCTTAACAAGCTTATCATCCGCTGCTGACACTAAATATGGCTTTTCACCACCATGATAATAATCCACCCAGTTCACTCCTTTTTCGTGCCCCTCAAGCGTAAAATTAGCGACCGTGGATCCAAGCGACCATACTTTAATCGTACGATCCAAGCATGCGGATGCAAAAGTATTTGAATCTTTTGGATTAAAATTTATGTTCATGACATAGTGCGTGTGACCTTCGAATATCTGAGGTAAACTGTATGATTTTAATATGGTCTATTTAAAACGGTTGAATCGTGTGAAAATTCCAAACCTGAATGCATTTCCATCCTTTTTCCCAATCCCACAATTTAACTGTCATATCATCGGAACCAGTCAAAACGAAAGGTTGGGTAGGATGTATAGCGATACAGCGGATGTAGTCAGGATGTGCCTCAAAAGTTGTAACCTTTTCATGGGTATTATAGTTAAATACGCGTATCTGCATGTCATCTGATCCTGCAATGAGCCAGTTCTTACGAGCAATAAACTTCGCCGCACGGACTTTAGAAAATGCAATTACGTATTTTAGAAATATCGCTTCCCTCGCATAGCTAATTTGTGATAAGAGGTTAAATTACCCGGTACATCAGTCACTTCAAAAGTTTTCACCAAGACCTATTATCCACGAGAAAGTAAATGAATTCAGTAAATATCATTGGGATTTCGTAATTCCAAATCCTCTCGTCTAATATCATTGAAATGTCTTTTATCCTATGTTAACTCGATTTTATGTATTTATTACATGACATTTCTTGCTTAAGTTCTTTCCAAAAATATAAAGCACTGAATTCTTACCTGCGTTTCATAATTCCAGATGTAAACGTCACCATTATATAAACTTGCTAGAAACCAAGGCTCGGTCGGATGGAAGTCGACGCATTTTACGCGATCGGAACGGGCAAATAGCTTGCGCTTTAATATAGCAATATTTAAGCGTTGATCAGAATCGACTCCGAGGAATTTCTGGGTTTAAAGAAACGATCGTAGATTACGCAATATATACCTTGATTTCTAGACGCATTCCCTATTTATGGCGTAGTTTCAGTGAATTAGTTCTGATGAAAATCGCCCGTTCAACATATCAAAATACATCTATTTTCTCACCATCCTAATATTTGGCTTCAGATGAATTCTTAACAAATAATGGATCTGGCACGACAATCAACTCGATAAATTTTTTCAATATCCACATATTGATCACGTTGACAATAAATCTTTTTCCTGCATGTGTTACTTGAAAAAAAAATTTTTTAGATCTAAATTATAATATATAAAAAGAATTTACATTTTTATTTGGAATTCAATAATTAATTAATAAAATAATATATTAAAATGATAAACTAAATAAACTAAATAATTCTTATATACTGTATGTAACTATAAATTTAAAATTTAGATATTAAATTATAGTAATGCTAATTTTTATTAAATTTTATATTATTTTTGTTTTTGTTTTTTTTTATAATCAAATAAGTATTTATTTATTTACTTATTTTTTATAATCAAATAAGCTAATACTGTTTATTAAATTCTTTTGTAAAAAACGAATAATATGTGATATATTAAACATTATATTAAATGTATAAACTATTTTACAAACTTGAATACTTATCTTAAACAATTGTTTTTAAGTATAATTTTAAAATAAATAAAATTGTTTTTTTTTTTTTTTGTTTTTTATTCTTAATAATATTTTATTATACTGTATATGTATAAAATAATACTCAGATAAATATTATTTAATTGATTTGTATATTAATTTGAATATACTTATATATATTATTTTGAAATTTTAAATTTCAATACTAATTAAACTTAATTTAAGTCAAAATTATATATATATTATTTTGAAATACAATCTTATAAGTAAAAAATTATTCTTAAACTAAAAGCAAAAATATTTTTTATTATTAAAAAAGTATAAAGATTTTTGTAATTTAAATTACTTAATTCAAATATTTCTTAAGTTTTAATTCTATTAAAATGGTAAATAATTTTTTAAAAAGAATAAAATTAATTTATAAAATTATATATATGTATTAAATTATTTAAAAATTTGTTTTTATTTATAAATAATTTTTAATAATATTATTTTATATTTATATAATAATATTATTATATATTTATTTATTTTTTATTTTTTAAAAAATTAATATATTATATCATGATATAAAAAAAAAACAAAATTATATATTTGCTTATAATTCAATAATTAATTAATCAAATTATATAAAACTTTATAAATAAGTTTTTTAATATCTTAACAATAAGTTTGTTATAAATCATATATATAAATATAATAATTTTTTTTTAATTTTTTTTTTAATACAGTAAAAGTTGAAAAAAAATTAATTCTCTATTTTTTATATATAGTGTATTACAAAAGTTTTTGCATAAATATTTTTTAATATAATTTAATTAATAATTATTTAATTAATATAAAACTTTAATATATATTTTTATAATGTAATAATAAAAATATTCAAGTTTTGTTAATAGTTGATTAATAAATTTGTTATAAAATAATAATTTGAAATAATAAAAAAAAAAAGTTAAAAATTTTTGATTAAGTTTTTATATATAATTATATATATATATTATAAATGAAAAGTATAATTTTTTAAAAAATTAAAAAACTTTTTTTGAATTTATAAAAAAATTATAAAAAAATATATTTTATAATATATTGATATTTATTTATTTGATTTTTTTATTAAATATATATTTTTTATTTTTAATAGTTAATTATAATCAATTATTTAAAAAATCCAATAAAATTTTTTAATTTAATTTTTTTTTTTAAGTAAATAAATATTATCTCTTTATTATTATAAAAATTTTAAATTAATTTTATATATAGAAAGTAATAACATCTCTTATATAATTGATTAATTAATAAATCTAATATTAACTTGTTTACAAAAACTATCTAAGTACTATGAAAAATAAATATTAAAACCAATATATATTTAAGATAGTATCAAGCAGCTATAAATATTTACTTAGGATTATATGAAATAAAATTTAAGAAAATATAAAAATAAAAATAAAAAATATTAAACAAAAAGAAAATAACAAAAAAATTAATTATAATATAAATAATATCTAATGTAGTTCTGGTGATTCTATTTCTTTGAAATATAATAATACTTTTTGAAATGACCAGGCCACAGCTTACAGTATATAATAATATTAATAACACATTTTTTTGATAATCATTTCTTGAGTCATTGTTAATAATAATACTAATATTATTATTTGTATTTAGATATTTAGTAATAATTAGAAGAAAAATAAAAAAAAAACTAATTATTATATAAAGGATATCTTGGATTAGGCATGCTATACTAATTGATCTATTTAACTAAAGTAAAATACTATTTTCAAGAATGGCCAGATTATTGTTCAAAGTAGATAATAGTATTGTTGATATGTTGTTTAGATCATATATTGTTATTATGATTGTTGATGGTTTTGTTAATATATTAATTAATTTATTTTTTTGTAATGTGATTTTGTTTTGATTGATATTATCAAAATAGAATTTGTTTATATTAATTATTGTATAATGTTTTGGTTGATGGAATTGTTTTGAAATTTGATAATATTTGATTGATTGAGTTTAAATTGTTGATCAGTTAACAGAAGTAAAAAAATTTTTTAAGTAAAAATTTTGATTTTTGGTGATATAACAGAATGTGTTGAGCCATAGTGAAAGATAAGTATTGAATGTATTGTTGGTCTTTTAAGTTAACAATATAGACAATTTTGATGTGAAGTTTGATTTTAAGTTAAAAGAAGTTTAATTAAATTTTTTAGATTACTGTTTTAATAAAAATTATTTTATATAATATTTTTATTAATATGCATAGTTAATACACATACAGTAATTTCAAATCAACCATATCAGTTAAGGGACATTTCCCTCCTGTTGTTGTTACACACAATATAAATTGTATTATAAAAATAACATTTTGAGTCTTGATTAAGGGAAATGTCCCGTGACTAATATTATCAAAAATATTAAATTTAAAAATAAAATATTATTCATTTATTTTTTATATAAAAATCATTGGACATTAAGAAGTACGGAAATGACCACTTTTCTGCCCGTTATCTCCCTTAAAGTCCTTCGCTTTGTTTCGGAAAATAAATTATTTTAACATTTCAGTTCCATAAAATAAAATTTGCTTAATATTAAATAAAAATTTTCGTTAAAGTACAATATTAATAAACAAATAATTTAGATGAATTAATGTTTGTAAAGAAAATAACCTAAAATATACGGTACAATTATATTTTGTGTAACGGTTTGAAATGCATAAAAGTATTTATAGTAGTAGGAAAATTCAAGTTTAAAGAGATTAAACATGCAATCGTATTCTGAATATTGTCCCGAATGTAATCAAAAATTTTCATCATATAAATGGTGTATGTCATGCAATGGGATTCACTTTCGACAAGATTTTGATAAATGGACAAGCGGAGATAAAAAAATTGACGAATTTATACAAAAGTCTCAGCTTCAAGCTAGTAATGATTACGAGAAATTAGAATGGATACCGTATACACAATTTCAAGATGTCAAATATATCGCTAAAGGAGGATATGGCACTGTGTATTCTG